CGGCCGACAGGAAAGTCTGCCCCGAGCTGGCACTGGGGACGGGATGCAGCGTCGGCCCCAGCCCGGCGCAGTGGGCACCGCAGCCCCCCACCACCTCCCCAGCCCTGCCTTCACGCTCGGGTGTTTACACCAGCCCCACCTTGCCACCCACACCCCCGGGCCCGGCCCCACGGACCTTTTCAGGCTCTGAATTTCATCCAGTGTGAAGTCAAAGATGCTGGCCAGGTGGTGGTTGGTGCTCCAGGCGGAGGTGAAGTCGCTCTGCGCCACGAAAACAAGCTCACTCGTCCCTGCCGAGCAGCGCGGTGCTGCCCGCAGCCCCAGCACTGTCACCCTCTGCCCGGGCACCACCGCACTCCTGCCCGTGGTCCCGCAGCCCCTGGGAAGCTGGCTTGGCACGGAACGTTTGCAAACCCCAGGACGAGGGACGGGGGCTCTCCCTGCCCACAGGAGCGAGGGAGCTTCCCGGGGAGTCCCAGGGATGAGGGGCCAAGGGGGTCCCACTCAGCTGCCAAATCCCGGGAGGGTGGCGCAGAGGAGGTGGCGAAGGACTCACGCTGGGAATGGCATCCTCCAGCAGGAACTTGGCCCTCTTGCGCCGCGCCGCTCGCCGCTTCTGCTGCTGGAGCTGCCGCGGTAGCAGGCTGCAAAGCAAAGCGGGGCGGGGGGTGAGGCTGCCGGGCTGCCCCAGGGGAACACGAGCACTGGGTGCTGTTGCAAAGAGGGGTCCCCGGGTGAATTTGGCCGCCTACCTGTCTTTATGGACATATTTGCTTTTTCCCCTCTTCTTCAGCTCGCAGGAGCTGCTCTCGCCCGCGCCGGGGGCTTTCTCTGGCAGCACCTTGCTGGGGGGGTTCGGCGGGACGCGGATGCGCAGGCGAAAGATGCATTTCTTCTTTTTGATTTCCTTCCCACAAAGAAACCTGGAATGGCAGAGGGGAGGAAACAGCCCTCAGCCCGGGCGGGGGGCGGGCAGGGGGCACAGGAGCATCCTGCATCCCGTCCTGTCCCGGGCTCACCTGCTTTTATAGCTGTTGAGTGCATTGAGGAGGTGGGGGCCGCGCTCTGAGATGGGGGTGCCCGTCAGCTGCGGAGAGACGGCGGAGGTCAGGCAGGGCTCGGTGCCTGCTGAGGTTATGCAAAAACTAAACAGAGGGGGGAACCCAAACTCCGGGTTTCAGCTCCTGCCCAAGGGCGAGAAGCAAGGGACACCAAAGCCCAGAACCTCCCGGGTTTGGCGCAGGGGAGGGAGGCGTCTGTGGGGAACCCAACCCGTCCCGACGTGGTGACAGGCTTCCAACACGCCTCGGTTTTAGCACTTCTCCCGGCTCTAGCTCTGACCAGGAAACTTGTCCGATACAACACCAGAATAAGGGGAAATCCCAGCACAGAGCGAGGCGATTTAAGCCAACTTTGAGCAGGAGCCACCCGTGCCGAGCGTTGCCCAAACTGGGGTTTTGCGGAGATGCCCAAGCTCATCGGCGCGGGGCTGCTGGTGTGGTGGCACTGCCAACATGTGGGCACCTCCTTTTCCAGCACTCACCCCTGCCCCAGCTGTTCCCCAGCCCCAGGAAAGGTCCGTCGGCTCTGCCCAAGGCCCTGGCACCAGGGGCTGACACCACTCCCGGCTCAGGGAGCAGCATCCTCCACCACCTACGCTGCCTGCTGGGGGTGCCCCGCTCTGATGCCAGCCCAGGGGAGCGGCCATGTGTTCCCAGCGGTGCAAACACCCCAGGCCGGGTGCTCCTGCCCACCCAGAGAAACCGGGCAGGTGTTTTAAAGCTCCTTCCCCACGGGGGACCCGCCGGGGGAGCAGCCGGCTCAGGCCGCGGTGAGAGGGCACTGCCAAAGCGCCGACCCCTTCCCAACGAGCAACACACGAGCACACCCCGAGGCTGGCGGTCGCTGAGAGGGGAAGCCAACCCGAACAAGGGGCAGAGCTCGCTGCCCCACCGTTTCACCACGAGCATCGCCCTTTGACAGCCAACCTGCCCCAGCCTGGGGGCTCGGCCACCGCAGAGGCTCCAGTCCCTCCCAGTTGAGGCTTCAGGAACAGCCAGCCGTGACTTACACCTCTCCCCCTCCACGGCTGCTCTCCAGCCTGACCCCAGGCTGCGTGTTTTTTACCTTCCCGAGCTGCAGCGGGTCCCAGTGGTGGTTCACAAAGGCCAAGATCTCCTCGAAGTCGAAGTACTTCTTCTTGCTCTGTACGCCCAGGTTGTAGAGGGCGAGATGGACGACATCCACCCTGCGGGAGCAAAGGGGGTGAGAGGGTCGGCAGCCCACCCTCTCCCCGGCAGGATGGTACCCACCACGATGCGATGCTCTGCCAGGGCTGCTCAAGCACAGCCCCCAGCACTGTCCTCCCAAAACCCACCCACTAGAAGCTGGGACCATTCCCACACACCATGGGGGAAGCAACCCAGTCCGGAGGTGCGTCCCGGGGGACGCCACAGCCAGGACAGCATCCCCTGAGCTTTGGAGAAGGGTGGGACATTGCCTGCAGCTGGGGAGAACCCCAAACGCCAAGACTCCTGAGCCCAGGAGCTGGAGGACATGCTGTTCCCAGGACGAACGCCCGTTTTTTCAACTTTTTAATAAGCTCCAGCCATGTGCTCTTGCTGCAGTTAGGTACAGGAGCGGGAGAGCTCTTATTGACATGAAAACAGACTGTCTGTTTTAACAACACAATCTACCCAGCGAGATTTTACACTTGAGTCTCTGAAAATGAAAGCCAAGCAACATATCCTGCAGGATTTCCCTTATTCTCCTTCCAGCCTGCGGCAGCGCTCAGTGCAATGTCCTCGAGCCAGCCGCGTCCCAGCAGCCCATCAGCACCAGCAACACGTCTGACACGGCTGCACACAAGGGGAACAGCAGAGAAAAGCTGGGCTGCCAGCACTGTTAATATACTTTATAAAGTGCTTTCAGACCATGAAGGGACACTAGAAGGTACCACTTGTAAACTCGTATTTGATCACAGAATTTGATGACTTGCCACACGATCGCTTTTTGCGGTCATCTTCTGGCAAACGTGTACGTTAGCTCCTGGACAAAGACCAGGTTTGGGGCACGCTGAGACATAGCTGCCCTGGGAAACCGCCCCGTGGGGCCGGGCAGGAGGAGCTGCACACCCGGGGCCCGCAGCCGAGCAAAGCCCAGAGCTCAGCACCGGGCTGGGAGGAGCGGGAGACGCTTCGCGAACTCACGCTGCTGAAACCCAGCTCTGGGGCTGGCCCCAAGACAAGGGCTCAGCAGCACCAGACACTGTCCAGCCCAGTGCCCCGCGGCCACCCCGGCACGTCCCAAAGGAGCCGGTGCCATTTCTTACCATCTCAAGGGCAGGCGCTTGATGTACTCAGGTCCCTGGTTGCACACGGAGCAGAAAAACACATAGAACCTGGAAAACAGCGGGGAGGGAGAGCGCTGGGGGTGGGGGTCAACCCTGCAGCCACGCAGAGGCTGGGGGCAGG